GCAGAGATGTTCAGTCAGCAGCTGAATAAGGAGCACAGCTCAGGAAAAGGTTTTGGAGTGGAGATCGAGATTCGGAGTCATCAGATAAAGTTAGTAACTGAAGTACTGGAGCAAGTGGGGTCAGTGAGGCACAACACGGTGAGTGAGAAAAGAAGGCATCTAGGGAAGGGTACTGATTAAAGACCCAGTTACTCGGCCATGGACATAGGAAAAAGAGCTCCCAAAGAAGACTGAGAGCTTTGCTGTCCAATCCAGTGGATGGTAGAAAGATGCAGCAGTTAATACTTTAACTAATTTAAATTAAAAATTTAAACTTTAAATTAAACTTTCATTTCCTCCATTTCTCTGGCCATATCTGAAGTACTAAACAGTCACATACAGTTAGTGGCTACCATACTGAACCACACAGGTTAAAAAATATTTCCTTCATTTCAAAAAGTTCTACTGAGTAACAGTGCTGTGGAGAAATGAAGCTTTTTTAGAATTACTCCAAGATTGTGCACCCTTCCCAAGAGTGCTATGTATAAGTCTGACTCATCCAATCAGACTGAGGCAAAGGGAAAAGAGCTGACGTCATTTGTGTCTGCAGAAACGTCAGGCCAAATATTATTATATGTGCTGCCGAAGCGAGCACAAGGCCAAATATTATTCAAGAAAATCTTAAAGAAGAACTAGGGGGCTGGCTATGAAAGAAGGATCACTAATCTCACAAGATTCACCTTAAAAATGAAAATGAAGTCCAAACTAATAGATTTGGGGGTGGAAGCCTACTTATTTTTAAAATGTTCCTTGAGTATTAAAATGTTTAACATATTTGAATAGGTGATACTATTGATGCCCTTTCTAGCTGCTCAGGCTTATCTTTCTACCTAAGAATCCCAGTGAGCAAGCAGGAATTTAATAGCTAAACTTGCATATGAGTCAAAAGAAGAATCTTGTTATGCTCTAACACCCACGTTCAGATTCTATCAGACTGGGAACACTCTTGTGTAAGAACAGGAACTAGAAATACCATTATAATAGATTACAATGTTGTGTTGGGGAAGCATAAAAGAAGAATGTGAAGGGAAAGATCACATTTGCTCTGGAACTGGGGGCAAGGTTCAAATACACATTTTTGTAAAATGGCAACAGAGGCATCCCAGAAGATCAGGAAGTAGATATAACGAATGCTACAACCCATGCAATTTTCATGGTGCTCATATAACAAGAACTGAACCATGCACACGGTATTATTTCCACTGTGAGAAAACAGGTGCTGAGACCTACTCAGCAGATCGAAAAACAAAGACCTTGGTCTGCCGCTTATGGTATAGAGACGTTACTTTAACAGCCTCTATCTGAGGTCCTCTTTCTCTCAGACCACTAGATTGCATAAATCTTATAACTCAGGAGCAAATTGTGTCATGGAACAAGCACAAGAATTTGCAATGTTACTTCCCAAGGTGTTCGGCTAAGAAGCTTGCCCCACTCTTCAAAGAGCTGGATTGCTGAGAATGAGAAGTGGACGAAAGATTGGACTCATCCTTATTTTCTTATATCGCGAAAATTGGATATATTAGAAAATATAACACTGGGCTTCAAATGACAAATTAAAATCCTTAAGTCACAGGAAAAGTTGCCATTTACTTCTGAAATACTGAATTTTTAGGTTCAGAAACTATATATGATAGTTGTACAGCCAAGCTTTTGGAAGTCAGGAAATTCCAAAGACAGCAGAGTACATACACTTGGACATATGACACATGGTACATATTTTATGGTCCATGTGGAACAAACAACTGAGAGACAGCAAATGAAGTTTCACATACCCAACGGATAAATTCTACAGTAGAAAAGAATTTTGAGATGTTTTGAGTGCTACTCTGACACTAAACATTCTACTAATCTAATTTTAGAAATTTGTTGTCCCTTAAAAAATTTAGAACAAAAGAAATCATCCCAGTTTAAAACAAATGACATCTGTAAAATACTACGTCCATCACCATCCTATAAATCTGAGAGGTGTTCCCCTCTCTTCTGGCAACTCTCTAAAAAAAAAAAAATTCTCAGGAAACAAATGCTCATTTTGCTCAACCGCAGACTTTAATTTTCTATCTTTGGAACTGAAAATACTTACATAATTGTCGTCAACTACGGCTTGACTTTTCTTCCTTGATGGGAACAGCATTTCTGCCAGCTTTAAAATTTATAGCTACAACCATATTTTTTTAATTTTTAAAAGCATAGCAAATACCACAACCCATCAAAGTGATTTTGAAATGAGCATTTCTTCATTTTCATAATTATCACATGTCACATTTAAATGTACTTCAACTCAGCACATAAATGGATAGAACATTTACTCTGAGTCTTAGTGCAAAACATCATTTTTGATCATGAATATTAGAGGTTAGGAAGGGAGGATAAAGGGAGGTTGGAAGTGATTGACATACTGAATCAATATATGCATGTATTGAAATGTCACCGTGAACCCCATTAATTAGTATATGATAATCAAAAATAAAAATATTGTCTCTGGAGATGATGTTAGCAACTAAAATATCCAGTAGTAATTATCCTACTGTATTTTAGTCATTATATATTTTATTACAACATAAAATGGTGTATCTAGAAACCAAATGCATGTTTGTGTGTGTGTATGTGTGTGTGTGTGTGTGTGTGTTTGTGTGTGGAGAGAGAGAGAGAGAGAGAGAGACTCATTTTTATAGACTACATCATAGTTTTCTAAAGTATGTCCACATAACTTCATGAATTTGATCTGCCAATAACCCTGAAAGGTTCACAATACAGGAATTATTTAGTATTCCATTTGATATATCAGTAAATTAAAATATGGGAAGGCTAAATTCCTTGCCAGAATCCTAGAAAAAAATGCCCAGACTTGTGACTCCCAGATCAGTCCTTTAGAGAGTTTAGATGAGACAAGAAATATACAAGGAAAAAAAAATAAAAGAAAGAAAGAAATACGCAAGGTTGCTGGATTTCTACAACAGTTTTAACAATGGATTTTTTTCCTCTCCCCAACATCATAAAGAGTCATATTCTATCTCATTTTTTAATAAATGGGAACAGTTACCTGGGTTATAAGGAAACTGCAAGAAAATTCTATGTTTGAAAGTATTAAACTTGAAAATGTGCATGCCTTTGAGAATCTAGAAATCAATATTATATTACAATTCCACAGCTCCTGGGAAGAAAACATTGAATTATTAGGAAAGAATTAAATTCTACCCCATCTATTTTAAAAATAGAAAGAAAGGGGAGGGAGGGAAAGAAGGAAGGAAGAGAGAGAGATTGGGGGGCAAACAAACACACAAAACAATGCAAAAGGAAAAGATAATCCAGGTAAAAAAAAAGTTTCAAAAAGAATATAGGCAACTCTCTATTTAAATTTAAACTGTGGCACTGATTACATAAATATATTAAAAACTTTGACTTTTCCCAAAGGAATCCTGCCCTTTTCTCCCTTTCCCCAAAAACTGAAAAACAGTGACAAAGTGGTGAGCAATACAATGTCCTTTTCACTTTTAAGTAATTCTGTCAAGTTTACATCTACATCTGCTATGCTTTTATAACTGGCATTTGTAATCCATAAAAACAAATATGAAAGGCACCATTCCTGATATTTTTCAAGGATTTGTCTTTTAAGTAAAGGTAACAACAACTTTTTTCTTTCTTTCCTCTCATGGAAACCAAAGGAGAATTTAGCATAGGCCTCTTGGTGTTCACTGAACATGAGGAGGTCTAGAAGGAATTCTCAGATCACCCTTCCAGACCTGGGGACAAGAGCACTTATTAGAGTCGGTGCGATTTTGCAGAAGGAAACGAACAGCGCAAATGGTGAGAGTCCTGGGGACAGGGCAGGTCTGTGTAGACTCTTGGGAGCCAATACCTACCTAGAAGAAGGAGTAGGTAGCCAGGGAGACATACTTATCACTGTCTTCTAACAAGTATGTTCATACTACACAGACAGAAAGTGATCCAGGAAAACGAACTCACTACTCAACAGTAATAACCACTAGGTATAAAATGTATTTAGACTATTAGCTAGGCATCCAAAATAACCTAGATTAGATTTAGATAATTCAGGTTGGATAACTGGGAATTTTCTCCCTAAAACATTCCTGTAATTTCCCAGACCACTGTTTAATCCCTTGGTCTATTTATCTGTTTCTCCTAAATCAGGGTATAATAGTAAATTAGTTTGACATTAGTTGTGTTTTACTTTTTATTTGTCTCTGTTCTATAGAAGTATAGTTAAAGTAGAAGTACATAGGCTCTTTTATTTTACATTTTATATAAAATAGACTATTTTATAAATTTGAAATTGGGACCACTTGCAAGACCTAAATATCACTAGAGTTAGAATATGCTACTTTAAATTAAACAAAAATTGATTCCAAGAAAATAAAGTGGATTCAGGGTGTTGAAAACATTGAATGATGAATAACATATTAATAGCTGGCCATAATGTCCATATGACAGTATCTGTTTAGAATAGCAATATATGTAAATGATAGATAAGCTATATACATGTGATTTTTTAAAAAAAGAATGTTCAGCCCAGCTGATTCGATCTAAGTTCACAAAGGATCATTTTTAGAGGCCTCTGCATGCTGATTTAGAGAAGTCCTAAGAATTTGTATCCTATGACTTGTACTCGCTATTTCAAATACACGTGAGAAATTGTTTCAAACAAATTTTAAATGAACAGCTGTTACGGCTTATCTATGGAGGTTCAAGTACAAACTGCAGATCATATTCCAGAAATAATGAGTATCTAAAACATAAGACTTCAATTGCTTTAGAGTACAGCTAACTGTAGTACTTTATTGAGAGATTAGTAATTTGCCCCTGGGCCATGGAGTCCAGACTTCCTAAATAGGTAGGCTTGAAGTTAACACGGACAGAGGTAGTGCTTTCCAGTAGAATTTTGGAGTGTGTGTTCTGTACAAACCAGCAGGAATCAACAATGACAATCAAGTGTTTTCACGTACTTTGCAAAGCCAATAAAGTCTTCATGGTTGGTGTTGATGTAAGAGACCTGAATGTCAATCAACAGCAGTACCTGCAAGGCAAAAAGAATCACATCAATGACACCCATTTTAGAAATTCTCAAACATTAAATTCAATAACTGGCTATAAATTATTTATCTGTATTTAATTTTCTTGAGCCAGGGTCTCACTATTCAGACTGGCCTGAAATTCACCATGTAGCCTAAACTGGCCTGGACGTTGGGCGATCCTCCTTTCTCAGTTTCCTGAGTGCTGGGATCACAGCATGCCTGCAGGGCCCATGCATTTAATTTTTAAAGTGATTTTTAATGAAAAGTTGCACTGATTTTTCTTCATTAGACCCACACCTTTGCACTCTAAATTCATAAGTTAGAAAACTAAATGAAAAGTAATCTGATAAATTATATATTATTCGCTAAAATTTTTCTGTTCCTCCAAAACATAGCACAGCATTCAAAAGAAGGGAAAGCACACATAAGCAATGTTACTTCTTGTTCTTTTTCTCTCCCTTTCCATCTCTTCAGTTCTTCCTCTGCAATCAGAAGTATACCATCAAACAACTGAGAAAGGAAAGACACAACTGAAAGTAAAACCTCCCTTGAGATCAGTAGGCCTCATTATCAAATCAAAATGTCAGCCCGGTCTCTGAAAAAAGAAAAATGTCCCTCATCAAAGGGATCTTCCCCGATCTATCTAAGCACTCTTACTATTCTAGCATTGTATCCTACCTTGTTTTCCTTCGTGGCACTACTAGCTGACCGAGCAAGCTTTTGCAGATGCGGTATACAGGCTGCTATAGCCCCCAGGCCTAGAGCAGGGCCTGGGATGTCAAGACAGATTTATGAAGGAATGGATCAAACACATGTCCAGGCACCAGAAAATGTTCTAACCCTAAGGTACTTGTAAACTCTAAGTCAGAGATTTGGAAGGCCTCTCTGAGAAAAAATATTCTTCAAAAGGGAAATGAGGAGGCTGAGAAAGAACAAGAGGGGACTGGAGCAACCAGGAGCTCTAAGAGAGAGGGTCTTATTCCAAAGACCTTCCACAATGGGTCCTGCCTTCTACATTCCCTCAACTGCAAAGTACTTCTTTCCATCATGTTCAGGCTTGTTGACAGTGAAAAACACAGAAGAGCCACTGCCTCAAAACCTCCAGAGCTGCACACTTTGCCTTGTGGGACGTTTGATGATCATGATGAGATTTACACGTTGTCCTGCCTTCACAGAGGGTAACACACAAGTGCATCAGAGCTCTTCTGGTTAACAGTTCACAGGCGTACTTGACATCACACTCCCCACTGGGTACTTCCTGGGAAAATCTTCCCCGATTTTCATTCCTTATCCTTCTGCGAGACCAGGTTGTACCAGTCTAGGACTCTCAGGTAGTCTGGATCCCATGTTCAGATTGTACATATGTGTATCACAAGGTGTGATCAAAACATACAGTGAATGTTTAAATTTATTACAGTAAAAGACACATTGCCATTAATTCCCCTCAAGTTATTCCTCCTCACTTTGAATACACTTGTTCTGTCATTCTGCTGCCGAGCCCCATCCAATGGAAAGGAGCCTCCTAAAAACATCACAGTGTACTCTTATCCACCTTCTTCACTGGGTCTGGGACCATGCAACTTCTGACTCCTCCTCAGAGTAAAATGACCGTGAAAGGTGAACGTTTTGAATTGATTCAGGACATCGAGACAAAAATGACAGCACAACCAAAGACTCACAAAAGAGGACTTTGATAACTGCTTCAGAAAGTGGCAAGAATGAGAGGACACACGTGTTCAAAGTGGGGGCGTGTTTTAAAGGTGTTTAATAGCAATGTGACCTTCACTGTAATAATGTTAAAATGTGTTTTGATCATACCTCACACACCCTGTGCTTTTTAATTTTGATGTTTACTACAAAGGTAATTAATTATTGCCATAATTTTTTTTGCTGTTTCTCTTTCGTTACAAAACTAGAAGCAGGGTTATGTTTGTCTTCTTCATCAGCTTATCCCCGGAATCTAGCACGATACATGTAGTGGGTGCTCAATAAATATTTGTGCTTTTAATTTTGTAACTCTCTACTAAGATTGAAGAAAAATTTGTCTTGAAGGGAGCAATGTATACGTGTGTTCACTTAGTATTGTTTCTTAGTCAGTACGTAGTGTTAAGGACTCTGAGGCTTTGCCTTTGTGGCTAATCTCAACCAGTCATCTGACCAAATATTGCTAAGAGTCACAAGGGGACTTGTCAAGAAAAGATTTAAAAGTTCACTCTGAATCTGAGCCCAGCACCAAAAATATACTCAAAGCACAGGGGCTGTTGAGTCAATAATATCATATTTATATGAAAAGGTTTTATATCATTAGGTGCAGATCTATCTCAGAAAGAATACTGAGGAGTTAGGAACAGTGACTTTTTATTAGATTAACTCTAGAAGTGCTTCTATTCATCCAACAATTAAGGTGGATTCTGTTGAATATTATATTCCTAAACCCATCTGGTCAGGACTTCGTGCTAATAAAACTGTCATATTTAAGTATAAATAAATTGTTGCCACCACAAGGAGTAAAATATCAGCAAAGTTCTCAACATAACCAAAGGTTGTCTCATCTTGGACACTTGCACAAATTAACTTGGACTGCAGCATAAGGGGAACAAACTAGAAAACAATATAAGCTATGGCTATTCTTATTTATGCTCTTGGAAATGGGGAGGCTCTGTTCACCCTAGCAAAAGGCCAGGTCACATATAGGGAATGAAAAGGAGAACATCACATTTTTTTCTCATTTTTACACTTCCTGAGTTTCACACTTTGCTTTCACCCACCATTATTGAATATTTAGTTGAAGAAAAAGTAAAGCTACTCCTGGAAGTAGTAACCATCCAGAGTCAGTCACTTTGACACACAGTTACATGTATGGAAACTCCTAGAAGAACAGCTGGTGTGCATAGATGTTCCAAAAATCTTTGTTTAAGATAAAAGCTCATGGACAGATTTATATGTTTCATTTTGAGGATGTTTCCCTCACAAAGCTTCCTGAGCAGAGGTAGTTAATTATTCTCTTTTTAAAAGAATGCCTCAAAACAGTTCAGGAGCAGGGCTCTAGGGAAACGAGTCAACCTGATCAGATTCTGTATTTCAGAAGTACAATATGGCCCAAGGCAACACATAGCTCAGAATTTAAACGGTAAATCATATTACCAAAATGCATGTTTCTACTACAGCACACAGCTCTGTTTTAGAAGTGACCACTGCTAGCCTTGAGAGGCAGTTGATAACTATCAGAGCAGGACATCTGAGATTATCATTCAAGAGGGAGAAGCCCGCACCTCCCTTATCACATCTGAAGAATGGATTCACCCCTTTAATTAATCTGATTTGTATAAGAAAGATAAGTGTTCTTGAAATCTGGAAAGATAATTCTTTCTCATATTTATCATGCATCATAGCTCTCTGGGAAAAATGACAACTTAAAATCTAAGAACTGTATTTGGATTACTTCATTTCATCCTCACAGAAACACCTCTGAGTTAATTCATTATCCCACTCTTTTTTTTTTTTTTTTTTTTTTTTTTTTTTTTTTTTAAGATAGGGTCTCACTATGTAGTTGAGTCTGACCTGGAACTCAGTAGCCCAGGCTGGTCTTGAACTCACAGCGATCCTCCTGCCTCAGCCTCCTGAGTGCTGGGGGTACAGGTGTGCACCACCATGCCCAGCACCATTATCCCACTTTTAGATGAGGAAATTGAACTATAAAGATGGTAAGTTACAGGTTAAAATCAAGTTAATGATAGAGTTTGGATTTTAGGTCAAGTAGTATGAACCTAGAGCCAACAATCTGAACAAAGCAGGACGGATTCATCTTGACACGACGGCAGCCATCTTGTGTCACAACTTCTATGACTGTCCCTGAGTAACCCTGGTGGATTCCTGTCTACCGATACATAGTTTCTCAGCATGCTATAACTAGACAAACCCAGTAATGCAGGATATGGAGCTTTAGGATTTGACACTGGTATCAGGAATGTGCCTGGCTCTTGAGATAAACTAGATGCATTCTGGCTTGGATGAAGTCATTTTTCCTGACCATTTTATAAGCTCCCATCTCTGATTCAAATTCCAGGGATACACCTGATCCTGTGGCCACCCAGGACCACACTTCTGTCAATAAGACCCCCAAAAATTACACAATCCTGGATATGTCTGCCTTTCTCTTCAGTCTCACGGCACACTGGAACCAGGTTTCATACACTGGACCTGGTTCTTCCAGAACAAATGCTAAATTTGAAAATGTCATTTTAGCAAAACAAAAATTAGGAAACATGAAACAAGTCAACAACTGCCTTTGCTATAATCACAAAGATGTTTAATAACTGTACTATTTCCCTTTAGTATTATTTTGCAGAGTATTCCTAACAGGTAAACAGGATATATTATACTTTGAATAGTTTAATGACACTCAATTAAAACAGCTTATTTACTTCTGATTGGGTGTACAGCCGATTTTTAAGAAGTTAAGTTTTGTTGGTCCGAGACAATAGGTAGGGAAGGAGGGCACCTCTAGCTGGGAGCTACATATCTAGCCCCAGGCTTCATGTCACTGACTCTTGAGTTACTACTGACTTGTTTATGTCCACTAAGTCACCATGCCTATTATTTTTACTTCTGGCTTCATAGCTATCCAAGATTGTGAAAGCTGGAAAACAAGTGAAAACTATAAATAGTGGTTAATTAACTCTCAAAGCACAATGATAAAAAGTAGTAACAGTGAGTCCCACGGACCAAGCAGAGAAACAGTTGTTTCTGGAGTCACTCAATAACGTCCCAGGCTGCCGGGCCTCCAGCCCTCTGCCTCTCCACTTTCTCCTCCTGCCCTCCACTACCACTACACATACTGCTCTGTACACATCTCTTCCAACATGGCATCTCTCTCTAATCCCTTTTTTTTTTTTTTTTGGCCACTGTCTTTTTTCTCCATTCTTCCCCCTCCTTCTTCCGACTCACCTGAGAATCACACAATACTGAAGTACTAATTTATAGAGGTCTTCAAAGATTATACAGATCAATATCTCAATGCTGTGCATGAGAAAACAACAGTCCAAAAATGTGACTGACACACAAACATGTGGTTATTTAGTGGAGAACACGTGACCTAAGCCAAATGTTCTCTCCTCCATGTCACACATGCAGCCTTATTGTAAAAGTCAAAAGTATCTGAAAACCTTTGTATGTCCTACCTGGGAAAATCCATTTAAATATGAGAAAATTTTATTATTTCCAAGTAGTCCTTCTTTTTTAAAGGAATTATCCTCACCAAACAAATAATCTTTCCAAATAACAGACTTAGGTTTAGAAGATAATTCCAAGGTTACTCCATACAAAATAGTAAGAAATGTTTCGAAAAGCAGATCTTAAATTTGTTTTCATTCATAAGTTCCATGAATAAGTTGATTAAAAGCTATGACTATTCTCCTCAGTCATAAAACCACTCAACATTTTCCATAACATTTTAGGAATGTGTGGACATCCTGGAGTCCATATGTGAGTCCCTTAAAAGTTAAGAATTTCCCTTAAATTAAAAAATGTGGTGTGTTTCTGAATTAGTGGTTTTCAAAGTGGGATGTATATATGCTAGGGAGGTGTACAGGATGATCATGAAGTGTTGAGGGAAAAAATATGGAAACTCTTTTTACTGATTATAAACTTCATTCTTCTAAAGCCTTTATATTTCTTATGGATCTGACATGCATAACATAGTAGTATAGTAACAGATGTATTGAATTCATACAAAAGTAAGAATGAATACGACGTGGTTATATGTTCCACTATTGCTTCCATGGCTAGAGAAGGGCTAGGCTAACTGCTGGAGACAGCAGACAACTGCACAGAGGACTTTCACTTCCCACAGGGCCCTGCTCACTAGGGATGGTCGCTCCTCACCTGGTCCTTTGTCTTCCCTTCTCGCTCACGAATGTGGTTAGCAACAATCCTTTCTGTTTCCTCACAAAGTCTGGGGAAATTTGCCAGCTGTCAAACAACAACAACAACAACAGGTCAGAGTGTTTATAATACAGTACTCAAAAGATCGTGCTACAAAAAAAAAAAAGCAGAGACAGATTATGCTATTTTACAGAAGATACTAGTTACAATTCTAGAAGCAAAAGTGCAATGTCAGGAACTCCTGCAGAAGAATGTCCAAGTGATAAACACATCTCCACAAACTATAATCAGTAGCATCATCTAAAAGGAGAGACTTCAAAACCCACACAGCAATTCCCTAGAAATAAAGCAAGAACCTAGGTACTATCTAGCTGAGGACTTAAAGTCTCAAGAGGAAGAAGATGGAGAAGTGGATGAGGAAAATGATAATGGCTAACCGACACTTATGTAGTGCTTACCACATGCGCTTCATGAATGATCTCACTGAATATTCACAACAAATAAGAAACAGATTTAACTATTAAGCTCATTTTACGGAGGAGGAAACTGAAGCACAGAGAGGTTAAGTAACCTACCCAAGACCAAATAGCTCAGAACTGGAAGACCCAGGGTTTCAACTCCAGTTTCAGGATTCTAGAGCCCAAGGTCTTACTCATTATCTGGTGAACATGATTCATTCCATGAGTCACAGAGAGATTACTATGATTTTTTGAAAATTCTACCCAATAGGTATATATATATATGTGGACACATTTTTCTAAAACTGCAGAAATAATGTATGGTGGTCATTTACCCCATCATGCAGATAATTGTTCTAAAGACACTCTGTAAAAGTTAATCATTAATTAGTTTTTTTTCAATACAGAGGAAAATAGGATGCTCTGGGAATGGTTAAATAGCCCTAATCTAGAAGACAAATTTAATCAGACAAAGGTCTTGGGAAGTGATGGTGGGGGATATAGAGCTTGTCAAGCACAAGAAACACGTAAGTAACTGACAAAGTCAAAAAGGTTAATGTAGATCCACTTAAAGAATAGAATGTGGTCATTTCAACTTACATTTTTAATATCTATTGTTACAGTATTTGTATTTTGATGCCAAAGGAAGAAAATTAGCCCACTGAGTAACTGATGTGATTACCTACAACTCTACACACACACACACACACACACACACACACACTCACACACAGAGCTACACACCACCCTATGCCCTTGATAATCTTCCAGGACATACCAAAGAACTTTACAATCCCAAAGTGCTTGAGTAATACTTAAGCACATAATGTTTGCCTAAACTCCTAAGAGTTAGGACGAGGCATCTTTCAGATGTGGCTGCTCTGTGGCTGTCCAGGGTCACTGTGCCTGCCACATTTACAGCTTGCATGATGCACATGGTGTCTTCACAAGATAACAAGCTGCTGTGCTTCACAGAACTATCACAACCACCAGCTCACCGGACCTCCTTGTGCTACAAATCTACTGGCCAGTAAAGGAAGAGATCTACATAAACACTACCACACGCTAATACACACTGGGAAATCTGAATTTTGCATAATTTTACTCCTCTGTGTTTCCAAAGTGATCCGCAGTGGATATAGAAAACTTTTATAACAACATCATAAAAATATAGACACTTAGCTGCCTTCATCACCTCAAAAGTTGCAATCCAGTGTGTCTTCATGAGGCCGCCAATGCCTCATTTTAAGAGTGATCAGAAGTTGTTCCTATCTGAATCCTGTGACATATACTCACAAGAGCTTCTTTCACAAATTACAGCTACTGCAGGATCCAAAGGGATCTTCCACTTCCCATTTTAGAAACATTCACCAGGGGCCCATTTTGACACAGTACATTATCATCCCCACAACCTCTTTTGACACTGTAACATTATCTTTTGTGAGGTTTATATAAGGTTTCAGAGATGGGTGGGACAGATAACCAATCCTGGTCCTTCTTGACTAGTACAAACCTGGGTGGTACATCTCGCACTAAGCACCTACCTGCTCAGGGCTCTCAGAACAAGAGCTTCTCCCTTGCACCCAGGCAGCATTCCCAGCCACCCAGGCACCTTGATCTTCCATCACAGCTACACTGTTACAGAATCACACACCACTGAGTAGTAACAATGAGAGGAGCAGTGATCTACCAAGGAGGGGTGGGATGCCTTTAACAACACAGGATTTCAGCAGAAGGTTATTTTTAAAACCGCCAAATAGTAGCAATATAAATATTTATTCAGAAACTAAATATTTGACAGCTGAAGGACCCCAGGCCAGTACATGGCCATCATTAAGTCAGGGAAAGGGCAAAATGACAAGAGTATCCCATGAAGTAGAGTCATCTAAGAATTCCTCCAATTTAATGGCCTTGGCAGAGGGACTGATTTGTGTGTGTGTGTGTGTGTGTGTGTGTGTGTGTGTGTGAGAGAGAG